CGACAGCCGAGGTACTCCTTAAATTTGAAGCATGTACCGTATTTTCCGGACTATAAGCCGCTACTTTTTCCCCACGCTTTGAACCGTGCGGCTTATAATGAGGTGCGGCTTTACTGAAGATTTTCCTTCACCTACCACCAGGGGGCGCTTTAGCAGGAAGTGAAACAGGTGGAAGTCAAAAGTGGAAATCGAAGAAAGTGCTCATTTTAATTTAGCACATGCAAGCAGCCGGCACCACGAAGAATTTTTTTCAAATCCATACCCCCTCATCATGGTAACTACACGTATGAGTTCATATGATGCCGCATTTAAGTTGAAGGCCATCGATCTGGCAGTAAAGGAGGGAAACAGTGCTGCCGCACGTAAGCTTGGCATGAATGAATCCATGGTTCAGCGCTGGAGACGGCAGCGGGAAGAACTCATTCAAGCCAGCTTCACCCGGGATGATGACAGCAACACGGACAGCAACACCTACATCGCTACAGAAAAGGTATGTGACGAAGCTCTTCTGAGGCTGTTCAACTCCGACACTGAAGATGATGACTTCAGTGGTTTCAGTGTGCAGGAGGACGATGAATAAACTAATCAATAACTTTTCTGTTTTGTTTGATACTGATCAGTTCAGTTACGTTCAGTTAAACTGCGTTTTCAGTTCAGTAGATATCCGGTAGATATCTGCGGCTTTTAGCCCGGTGTGGCTTATATTGAGGTGCGCTCTATAGTCCGGAAATACGGTAAGTGGTAGTCTAACGCTATTGGTTAGTTCTGGTCGGCGCTCAGTTTCCTATTGCATGGAGCTCTGCGGGGTCGGGGCGTGCTTAGCAGCAAAAATTTAGTATCGTTTACATTATATCACAGTACATGATGAGATAATCACTTTTACGGATTTCTGACAAATCATACATAATTTCTGAAAGGAGAAAACTCCGGAAAGATACTAAAATGTCATTTTTACGAACTCGTCCTGAAAAACGTGATTTTCTGTGTCGTCATAGTTTGCCTCCCACTGGAGTCCTCCAGTAACGACATCGGACACAAACCAACGAGGAGGCCAGTTGAATAGAAGGACTGAATAAAAGTCATGTGGCCTAAATATTTAACCTAAACCAACGTTACCATCACACAAGTATGGAGTCAGCATTTAAAGCTACAACGACAAATTCAACAAATAGTAGAGCTAGAAATATGTTGTGGAGATAAAAATAAAATGAAGTGGTTCTCTTTCCGTAGTGACTATCCAGTCCTACCTTTAGTTACACTTGAATTCCCATGAAGATGCTGACGTTATGGTTCAAAGTAGCATTTATTTGGGGCAACTCAACAGGTTGAGCGGGTTGTCCAGTAATCGGAAGGTTGCAAGTTCGATCCCGGCTAGGGCTGGGCGATAGGACGATTTTAGACCGTTTTACGATCTACACATCTGACGGTCTGTCATTTTTGAGAGACCTTTTTATCACGATTCACAGCTCTGCTGTTGAATTTCTGAAAAGGGAACTTACCTCAGGCGAATGACAGGCCTTTGTTTGACCCTTAACCAATCAGAGTGAGCCATAGTAATATATTAGTGCCCCGCTTGTTTTCACCTGTGAACAAACATGGCTTCGGCCGCGGCTGAGAGCGACAACGAGGTTTTCGTTCCGAAGAGGAACGCCTTGTCCGTTATATGGAGCTGGTTCGGTTTTTCACCAGATGACAAAGAGCAGCGAAATGTCATTTACAAGGAGAGCGTCAAGACAAGTGATGGCAACACCACAAACTTGTTTAATCACTTGAAAAGAAGGCATCCCAAACAATACAATGAGAGCCAGCTGGCAGCTAAAGCTAAAAAGCCTGCGGCGGCAGCAGCTAGCGCTTCTTCCTGGCAGCAAACGCTAACAAACACTCACAAAACTCACTCCCTACGACAGAGACAGCAGACGATGGAACAGCGTGACAGATGCAGTGACGTACCACTTGGTTAAAGATTTGTGCCCCGTGCGAACAGTAGGAGCGGGATTTAAGAACGTGATAAAAACATTGGATCCGCGCTACGAGTTTTCCAGCCGCAAGTATTTTTCGAACTCCGCCATTCCACGCATGTACGCTGAATGCAAAGTGAGAGTTGCAGAAAATATTCAGAATGTGCAGATATTTGCTACCACAAGCGATCTCTGGTCCAGCCGCACATCAGAGCCGTATTTGAGCTTAACTATCCACTACATGAGCAACTGGGAGCTACATAGTATTTTGAACAAGTTAATGTTTGCACAATACGTTTGCAATTGACATGTTTGCACTTTAAATATGTTTACGATTTTAATTTATGTTAAGTTACTTGAAAAATGAGAAAAACAGATTTTTGTAATTGTTTCTCTCAGGGCTTTTATCATCTCTGGTGTGAGTTTAAAATATAAGTGTGTTAGCACTGTGCTGATTAAATGAATGTTGACTAATATGAATAAATGTTTATTTATTCAATGTTTCTCTTCTTTAATACGCAATTGAAGTTATGCTATTCATGGATAAAAAATCGTGATAAAATCGAAATCGTGATAAAATATTGGAAAAATCGTGATATTCTATTTTTGCCATATCGCCCAGCCCTAATCCCGGCTCCAGACAAAGAATTCTACTGTTGTGTCCTTGGGCAAGACACTTAACCCCCTTTGCCTGCTGGTGGTGGTCGGAGGGACCGGTGGCGCCTGTGCTCGGCAGCCTCGCCTCTGTCAGTGCGCCCCAGGGCAGCTGTGGCTACATCGTAGCTCATCACCATCAGTGTGTGAATGTGTGTGTGAATGGATGAATGATACACTGTAGTGTAAAGCACTTTGGAGTCCTTACTCTGAGAGGCGCTATACAAGTGCGGGTCATTTATCATTTCATTTGGATTTAAGCAAATGATGAAAATATGATGATTTTAGCTGCAAAAATGATATCAAATGAAAACCAATGAGGCGGTAAAAACCGTGTGATCTCCCGTCGCACAAAAACGCTGCGCACTGCCACCTTTTCACCTTTATAGACTCCACAGTGCCACCAGTGGTTGAAAATGTTTTATTTGTCGCAGGTAAGCCAAATTATAATCGCTACAACAATATTGGCTCCTACAAACTCATTTGTCTTAAAACCTCCACCAGTAACACGTTTTATACCGAAACCAACTATTGGACCATCTGGATGTCGGTCTTACTGAACCACCCCACTTCCCTGGGTCCTCCACTTATTACACACTCATGTATTTGGCAGCAGAACAGCACCGGTGTGAGAGCTTCTCTGCTCAATAACATCAGAGAAGGAGAAACAGCCGGCTGCTACCACTTATGACAAACTACCAGAGTCCTAAAAAGAAAAACACTGTTTGAATTCACAGACAATGTGGGTATCTGCAGGTTTAAGGGAACCACATTTAAGACTTTTTAAGACCTTTTTTAAGACCACTTTGACCAAATTTAAGCAATTATTTCAAATTAAATTTAAGCTATAATTTCCAGCTATTGCCTGGAACCGGCGCTAACCACGTCGCGAACGTGAGATTAGCCATCCAGTTACCATTAATGTTGCACTTCCCCACGGCGCAAGCTCCCACTAGCTTAACCAGCTAATGTGCTCATCTAAAAATAGCCCCCTTTCACAACCAGCTGAATGTGTACAGTTCCATTTACGGCAACATGATACACAAAAAATGCTGAACACTAACTAGAAATTCACAAAACTTTTATAGAAATAAAAGAATCTTGTTTATCGGGTCTTTGGTCATTTAAGACCTTTGGAAACAGTATTTAAGGATTGTTTGTCATTTTTAAGGATTTTTAGGGCCTTAAATTTGGAAAAGCAAATTTAAGACTTTTTAAGACTTTCTAAGACTTTTTAAGGACCCGCAGATAACAGCGACTGGTGTTTAGCGCTAGGGTGTCCGGTTCCGGTTAGAAGCGTCTGGGGAAAGATACCTGAGGGGAGGGGTGAGTGTTCTGTGACCGTGTTTGCGTTTAAAACCTGGCTTCTTCTGTAGATTCGTTACAACAGCTTTAAAAATCAGACTAAAACATCACAGACTCAGTAGCTCACTGCGTTTCTGCAGCACCTTCACTTTCATTTGTCAATTTTGGTGCATTTTTACAACAAATTAGAAAGAATTTTATCAATTTATTTTCATTCTCAGTGACCTAGTGGTAGAGCATCCGCCCTGGGTCTGGGAGGTCGGGGTTCAAATACCGGTCGGGTCACACCAAAGAGCTGCTTGACACTCAGCTTTAAGGGGTTGGATTGGGGGGTTAGACCACCAAATGGTTCCCGAGCGCAGCCACTGCTGCAGCTCACCGCTCCCCACGGAGACGGGTCAGATGAGGAGGTGAATTTCACCAGTGTGTGCTGACGACTTTGGGACTTTTACTTTATTTGTTTCTCTGCTCCAGGAAACACATCAGTGGTTGAATTTCCTCTTCAACAGGTTAATCATTCAAAGCAGGTTAGTTAACAAAAGAAACATCTGAAAGTGACTCTCAGAGACCAGAATCTGAACCGAGACCTGTTTTACTAGCCAACCAGCTCAACATCAGCACAGAAATCAGTTCCTCTGCTTCCTCCAACCAGGATTTAGTAACACGCAGGCATGAAGTGAATCATGAGGTCTTGTTATAAAGATGAACAAACGGAGGTTGCCGTAGCGACATGAGGAAACAAGCCTGTTTCCTCCCAGTTTGACCCTCTGGGTTAAACCAGAGTACTTCAGTTTATCGAACACAGAGAGGAAGAGCAGACAGGAAGTCCGAGAAGTGAGCAGCTTTCTGCTTCCTGTTTTAATCAGCTGCGCACCGAGAGGATTTACTGAAACCAGAGGGAAGTTTTAAAGGACATCAGGCAGGAAATCAAACACAAACACACTCATGTGTGTTTTTGTTTCCTTGCTGATGTTCCCGATGAGACAAACCACCTTCTACTGCCTCAGATTTATGTTGATTCAGGCTGAAAATACCTAAGTTTGAACTAAAATCCAAAACCGAAGGCTTGAAGACGTCTCTCACCGGTTTTTGGTGCGTAGCTGAACCGCTGGACATGGCTGGCTGTGATTGGATGACGGGGCTTCCTGAGTTGGTGGTGATGGTGGGAACTGTAGAGGAGGAGAAGGAAGTCGAAGAGTGGGCCCGGAGTCCGAAGAAGAGACAAATTCTTCGATGTATCCAGGATCAAACTCCCTGTAGAGATGGAGACAAAAACACAACAATTATTCTAAAATGGAAGCTCCGCCTCCTCCTGATTGATGACCACTGATTTGCATAATAAATAAAAATTATTTAAATGCTTTGACAGCTTTTGGATTCCGGTAATGTCTTCAGTAAAACTAAAAGACTAATAATAATGGAGTTTTTAATGTGAAGGAAGCGTTGTGAAAATCCGAATCATCGTTCTGCTCGTCTAGGGTCCGGTCACAGAGGCACCGGCTCCAGCGGGGGAAGCCCACACATCAGATCCACGGGAATGTCGAGGCTTTCCAAGAAAAGACTAACCCAGATACTTCAACTCCCCCACGAGTCACTCCCAACTCAGAGTTCACATTCTTCACTCAGCATCTGCAGCAGTCTGTAGGAGTCGTACCGGCGCGCCTGTTTCTGGAACCAGAAGTGAGCCACATCAGAGCTGAGATCTAGACAACGGGATCGGGAGTCTTATTTCCTGATATGTGGACATCTCTCCTCTGATTGGCTAAGAGCAACACGACTCTACCACTGACTCTGTTTGCTCTGCAACGTTGATGTTTAATCTCCACAAATAACACAAGCATGGAGGAGTTCTGCTGTGTGGTGGAGTTGCTAATGCTAATGATTAGCTTCTATTAGCCATGACATACTCTGCTGTTTCCTGGACGCTAAACCAACAACAGCCTTCCCTGTCGTGAGTCCATGAACATTAAGTGACAGAGTGACGTGGATGTCAGGATTTTCTATCCTAGAGTTTCACCGTCTGTTTTCTATCCGAAGCTAATGCAGGAGATAGGTGTAGGAGACTATTTTCATGTTCAGCCTGCATGTTGAAGTCAGAGTGACCCGTTAGAATCAGAAATAATCCTTAAACATGTTTTTTTCCAGGAAGGACCTCCTTCAACTGTTGTAATATAGTCACAACCGATTGAAATGACTCAAAAAACATTTGCTAATTTTTGAGAAGAGATTTTTCTGCTTGTTCATGATGTGAAAAGTAAATATTTCCATAATAAAGTCATTTTTTATGTGTAAGAAATTCATTTAGACCTAGAAAACAGTTTGAAAACCCAGCAGAAAGACAGTCCTTTATGGGGTGCTGATTGAATAATATGATTTTCTGATCCTTTGCCGCAACAGAGTTAATCTTCAACCATAACCACCAGAACAAACGCCTGCTTGGTTCTGGTCAGACCGGTTCTAATAGGACCGTCTGCATGTCTTCTCTCTGTTTTCATCACAATACATTCACAATACTGACACTGATCAAACGTTGTTCATCACAATGGTCTGAGGAGTCAAAGGTCGGTGGTGGTGTTGACAAAAGCAGGAGGTTAGAGTTCATTAGTCACCGTGACTCACCTCCGGGCTCCTTTTGTCCTTCAGACAAAGAGAAAAACTCTTTAAGGTTATGAACGAGAATCTCAAACCGGTGAAAACAAAGTTCGCCTTTAAAATTCAACTCATTTCAGTTTCTATCAGCTGAGAGATTATTTGGTTCCTAATAGCTGCCAAAAGGCTTTGGGTTTTTCTGCTTTCGCCTCATTAGAGAAGTGAAAGTTTAAACAAGTGCCACCGTCGTGACTCGAGGTGATATTTGATGGGCCTTCAGGCTAAAAACAACATCATGGCTGCAGCTCTATCAACTCAGAGTGGATGGTGGTACCGAGCCCGGTTCTGTCTGTTCAGTCAAGCGTTCCTCATATATTAAAATGTCTGTGGTTTCATCATCTATCGTTTAAATCATTCACATACCATGCTTGATGTGAACGCAGCACAGAGATGGTGGACCAGAACAGCCTAACAGATAAACAAACATCAACACATCCTCCTCATGTGGAAATCCAAACAGTTAACCAAAACTACTGTAACGTCTCTTTCCTAGATTCAAACATCCCCAGGTTCACGTCGGGCTTCGTCCAAGTTCAGGGGGTCTGAGGTACCACAGGTGGCCCCAAAGCCGTAGCTTGGAGACCAAGAGGAGACCCACAGAGGTCCACTTTAGTGAAAATAACTGCTTGGGGTATTTTTGCTAGGGATTTGAGGCAGCAGTGACTCAGGAGGTAGAGTGGATTGCCTTGCTATCAGAGGACTGTAGGATAGATTTCAGCTCCTGCCACGGCATTCTGCTGTTGTGTCGTTGGGCAAGACACTTCACCCGACTTGCCTGTGTTGGTGGTAAAATGGTAAATGGCCTGTATTTGATATAGCGCCTTCTAGAGTCCTGGAACCCCCCAAGGCGCTTTACAACACAATCAGTCATTCACACATTCACACACTGGTGGGGATGAGCTACGATGTAGCCACAGCTGCCCTGGGGCGCACTGACAGAGGCGAGGCTGCCGAGCACTGGCACCACCGGTCCCTCCGACCACCACCAGCAGGCAACGTGGGTTGCGTGTCTTGCCCAAGGACACAACGACAGAGACAGGCTGAGCGGGGCTCGAACCTGCAACCTTCCAATTACGGGGCGAGCACTTAACTCTTGTGCCACCGTCGCCCTCTGGTGGGAGTCAGAGGCGGCCAATGGCAGCATGGCCTCTGTCAGACCACCCCAGGGCGGCTGTGGCTACAGAGTAGCTTACAATCACCAGCAGTTTGTGAATGTTAGAGTGCGTCAATAATGGAAAGCGCTTTGAAGGTCTAGAAAAGTGCTCTATAAATTCAATCTGTGGGTTATCATTATGATTTAAATATCAAATAAATATCAGTATCATCTACATAACGTTTTATTTTAGGCTAACTATTCCAAGAAATGACTCAAAGTTTTAAAAAGAGAAATAAACTAAATCCAAAACAAATTCCTGTTATCTTAATCTGGCTCCCCTGATCTTGGCCTTGAGGCTGAAGATCTTCAAAACCCACCAGGAGGAGCATGCAGACAGCTGCTCTGACAATGTTTTCATGGACTTAGTAATTACTTAGCTCAGAGAAATTCCATGTTACCTTCAAATTTGTGTAGTACATTGTACTAAATTAGTATTCCATGTTTTCTTGTAGCTAGAAATTCCCTGTTACCTTTCCTTAGGAATGCCCTGATGCCATCATTGTAATACACTGTAGTTTTGCTGTTTGGGTTACGTTATTTCTGTGTTTTTAGACTAAAGATATTAAAGGTTTATAAACTTCTTTGGTGTGTTCTTGCTGTGTTGAAATTCTAATTCCATCTTTAAGTTATTTTTAAAACAGAAAGGTTTTATTTACCTGCAACGTTTCGTTTGTGGCTGCAAACTTCGTCAGGCTGACTGAGCCACTGACCCAATGACCAGCCTACGCATGAAATGTTTTTAAATAAAACCTTTCTGTGTTTTAAAAAGAACTGAAAGATAGAATTAGGTTTATAAACTACAACATCCTATCATGGTAATGAAAAAAATAACCAAACAACAAAAAAATTAAAAACCAAGAAAAGAAACCTTGTTATAAATTATAATTAAAAAGGGCTTCAGAATAACATTCAAAGTATTTAAAGTAAGAACAGTTTCTTCTCTCCAGCCAGCAGCATCAATTAATATAGTACAACACACACACACACACACACACACACACACACACACACACACACACACACACACACACACACACACACACACACACCCCAGATTATATTATTAGGAGAGGACATTCCAGAGCTGACGAGTTGGACACCAGAACTTTAATCTGCACAAAACCTCACACTGGTGCTCAGATAAAAGGCAATTTAAAGAAACCAGTCCAACTGGTCCGAGGAAAGTGTGGTAGTGACACACACACACACACACACACACACACACACACACACACACACACACACACACACACACACACACACACACACACACACACACACACACACACACACCTAGGTTCAGCTGTTTTCAGGCAGCTAGTCTGAGCAAGGAATTCAGGGTAATATGTCCAAATGTGTGAGACACGAGGGACAGGCTTTCAGTTTATATTCAATAAACCCAAAGGTAGAGACAAAATGCCCAAAAAGCATTTGATGCTGCTATCAGAGAAACAGAAGATGAGCAACAGTTTGTGATGTTTTCTGAGCTGTTGAACGTCGGGCTGTCCTCTCTGCAACCTTTGACCCCTCCACCAGCTGATAGGCTGTGGGTGTTTTTAAAGCCTGCAGATATTGAGTCAATGGAAGAGCTGCTTCGAGAACCAATGACCCGATGACCAGCCTACACTCACACTGAGACCTTTGACCCTTTATAGGGTGACTTGCCTTAAAGTCTTGACTTGCTGCCTAAACCAGAAGTGTTTCTACAGATTAGAAAAAAGTTGAAAATGTGCACAAAAAATACAATAAGAACAAAAGCAGAAAAGTATAAACATGAAAAATTCTGAAAAACACCTAAAACAAGTTATAAAATAGCAATAAAAATAATTCTCAGTATTTCAGGAGACCCAATTCCGTAGCCGACTCTCATCTCAACAAAGGTTCCTCCACAGCTTTAGCTTGCTACCAGTAGACGTGATCATTCATCTGGTTGTCTACGGAAGGCTTAACTTAAGAGACTTTACATAAAACAACCAGGATGGATGTCGACATAAATGAGGTTAAAAGCAGCCAGAAACCCAAAGTCTGAAAACTTTTTTTTAACCTGAAGCATCTGTAAAAGTAGAAAATCAGTAAGGACATCGTTGTCCTGTAGTCGACTAGCTTGGCCAACCAGACTAAATAAATGTACCGGTAAATACATTTATTATTTAGTCTGGTAATGCTCCATTGATGGCTCTCGGTCGTGGGGCGGGTTCTACCGCTGTCTTTCAAACGATCTCCGCACGCTACTGGACAATGAACAACGTGACGTACTCACAATGGATGTCGGTAAACGAGGTGGTCCGCTGTTGAAGAAGATGAACATACATCATTTTTTTCTAAAGAAAATAACTGAAATACATCCATCTGCTCCTGATTCTAATAACGCCCAAGTCCAAATAGTCCAAAATTCAAACGAGCTGTCGCCATCTTTTTCCACTCTGTTGCATCATCCCGCCCACCAGAC